TTAAGCTCCCAGATCAGCTCCATAAAAAAATACAAGATTAGAAGTTTACAATAATCGTTTACTTAAAAAATGTCCAATAATGTCTAAATGCTCACAGTACACACTTATCTCGCCATAATATTGTATTTATCACTACATACACAGTAGCCTACAGTAATATACCCTTAATATTTTCTGTTTCTATTTTTCTTACCTTATATTTCTTGCTCTTTCAGCTGAGCTGACCTCTTGTCATTTAACCTCGTGTTCACTTATTTGTCAGTAAAACTTGAATCATATTGCGCATGTTTTTGTTTTGTGAAATCGAACATTACAACAAATCACAGTGTAATGTTGTACAGATGGAATTATGAAATTGAAAAAAAACACAATGCAGCCAAATGTTTTATTACTCTAATTAAATGCTTTGATAGAAAAAAAACATTTAGCTAAACTAATTAAATGTCAGGTTGTCACTTTTATTTAATTTGATTCCATTTCGTGTATTATTTCATCGACTTTAATGCTGCTTTAAACGTGTTAAGTATTTTATAACTTTGTAAGAGCTATAGCCCAATTTTATTATTATCATTATTAATCGTTGGGATGTGCCAGTGTCTCTACAGCGTTTACACCATCTGGGTCTAGAAGCAAATAAAAAGTCCATTTATCCATTCAGGAAAATCAAAGATATTATCGCCACAAATGAAGAAAATTAGTCAAACAATTCTTCCCTGTTTCCTTTTCCTTCACACACGCACGCACGCGCACGCACAGGTTTCCTACGATTCTACCATAAATGAAATTAATCGCATCTCGTTGAGTGAAAGCGCAATAAAAAGATGAATTCCTCCACGATAATGTTAATTTAACAGATTAATTACCATCACATGTGTCAGAGCAACACGTGCACGGGAGACCAGAGTAGAATAATTATAATATTAATACTAATGATGTGTGGAGGTTAAGAGTCTTCAGGTTTACAGTTTCCTTCACAGTCTAAGTTCAAGATCAGTAAAATGCAGAAACATTTTTTTACTCTATTTATTCAACTCTATTTATTTTGTCTCCACCCGAACTGAAGCTGTTTCCACGTGACACCGTTTTCCATCCATTTACCGGGGTGTCTCTAAAAAGGTAAAAATGTATCACCGCTCTATTAAACCTTTTACTCCAGCGCGTAAAACGGGTCAGTTGCGGTGGCGCTTTCATATTAAAACCAACTTGTTCCAGCGCACCGGTATCTGTCTATACACAGAAACACGTATTTGTCATAATGTTGTGGTCCCGAGATTTACAGCCTGCTTCTCTGTGTATATGTAGTCTATATATTTATATTTATACTCTGTCAGCTGCACAGGCCAAAGGGAAATAAACCGAGTGAGGATACGCTCTGTTCCCAGGTAAACACTGAGATGGAAAAACCACAGCAGAGTCTACATCCATAGTGTGTGTGTGTGTGTGTGTGTGAGAGGGAGAGAGTCCCTGCAGGATTATTACAGGAACACAGAGATGCATTTTCAATTAGAGAAAATATGGTGGCCCAGAGCAGAGGTAAAACTGTGCAAGGGAGAAACTGCAGGAGGAGGATGAGCTGTATGGAGAGAATGAGTGGGGGTGATGAAGAGAGGAAGAATTAAAAGATGAAGGTGCGAGAGGAAAAAGAGAGAAAGAAAGAAACAAGGAGACAAAAATAAAGAGCCAAATAAAATAATATCTCATCTAATGTTTTCCCCTTAAATTCAATCAAGCTGAACACACACAGAATCAGTTTCCTAAAAATACGTGAGATTGTTTTCATCATTCCCTGGAAGAAAATGCCCACATGTTACAACTGCCCCTTTGTGAGGACCTGGCCCCAAATTTAACGATTTCTCTCTTGGCTCACGTCCCATCCTTTCACACAAGATTCATGGAAATCTGAAAAAAAACAAACCAACCAACCAGGGGTGCAAACAGAGCAAACAATTCCAGGTGAACAATCCTCCCTTTTATCCCCGTAGTGTTCAAGTTCAGTTCTTTACCTCTCGATTCACGACTTTGACATTTCTCCTCATGAGGTGCGATGACGGGTCTGGAAGCAGTGGAGCTGAAACCACGTCCCTGCAGCAGAGTTGAAAATCAGCAGATGGATAATTGCTCAGCAAACAGGAGACACTTCCCTTTGAGTGTGTGTATGTGTGTGTGTGTGTGTGTGTGTGTTGTATTAGAAACTTCAAAGATGTGACTTTGGTTATTAATATTTATTTCATTTATTGCACCACAGAACCTCTGGAGTCTCTCTTTGTCTAAAAGCTTGTATCCCATCTGCAGCACAGGAGGAACAACATCCTGCAGCTACAGCAGCTTTTAACTGTCGGACCTTTGTATTTTCATCTGCTGCCTTTTCTTGAATTTGTCTATTTATTTGTATTTTCACAGCTCTCCTGCCTTGAACACCGCTTCCGATAAACTGTTTTTCTGGGTTCAGATTTCAGAAATCTAAACTACTTCCAGCATCGATAGATAAAACCAGACTGAACTGTGAGTGCGAACAGAACCACGGTTGTATTCAAACAGTGAAATCACGTCGGATTAATTTAATAAGTAAATGTTGAGTCTTTGAATGAAAGTAGGTTTCACAGTTTTGCTGGGTGTGAAACTGTTCTCAGTGAGGAGCAGAGGAGAAACAGATAGTTGATGCAATGTCTCCGCATCATTAGAAACAGCCTCCTCATTCATTTCAATGAGACCAACAGAGGTCAAAGTATTTAAAAGCTTGTCCACCAATGAGTCTTCAGTCTAAACATGACAGGAATCTGCCGTTGAGTCTTTTCCACGTTGCTTTCAACACATTCTCTAATAAATGCGTTACATCCTCGACTATCCTGGAAATGTAAACAGTCATTGGAATAAAATTTTATATCAGCAGCAGTTAAGCACGGAGCAGGCCCGCAGTATAAATGTGGCTTTATTTTCCAGCCGAGCTGCATCTCAGCAGAATCCCACTCGCTGCCGGACCTCTGCGAGGACCGGTGCAGCCAGTTCCTGCGCCCGGCGGTTCCCCCGAGTCAGCACCCCCTCCAGGTGAGCCTGGTCCGACTTCAGCCTCTCGATCTCCTCTCTGATGGGCGTCAGCCTCTGGATCACGGCCTCGGTAACCAGCTTCTTATAGGCTCCCGTGTCCAAACCTCTGGCCTGGGACACCGCCTCCTCCACGCTGATCATCGCCATGGCAGCGTGGATCGTCACGAGGTTGGACACTCCTGGACGCGTCTCTGGGTCAAAGGTGACCTCGGAGGTGAAGTCTGTGACGGCACGGCGGAGCTTGAGGTCGATGTCGTCAGGAGAGTCTGTGATGGTGATCGTTGCCATCGCTTGGGGGTCTGACTTGGACATTTTAGCGGAGGGGTCGCGGAGGGATTTGACCTTTCGTGTGGAGCCTGTGGAGGAAGATTGAGAACATTATCATCAATATGAAAAACAGCTGACACCAAAGTGACATGATCGGAATGGAAAAACTTTATCTGCTGTATTTATCAAACTAAATTAGTGAAGAATTAATTATATCTGTTCATCCTCTAAAAACTTATGTTAATGGATTTGTAGTTTTCCAAAAAGACCACTGTCCTGTGTTGCTTCATCTTTAATGTTTAATTCAAGCACCTTTGTTTGAGATATTCTTGGTAAATCATTAATAAAATGTAGCTTCAGAGTTTTCAAATCTTTTATTTAGATTATTTAATTAGAAAAGAAGCCAATGTCAGTGGATAAACTCAAATAAAAAACATCCAGAGGAGCACAAACCTCAGCCAAGGCCCGACAATCCCTTTAAATTCAATTAACCTGCACTAAACTACACAGAATCCTAGATGTCAGTGCCCTCAAAGTGAATTATTTACCGGGAACGTTAAGAAAGGTAAAAAATAAATAAATCGTGGAGTCACCATCCTTCCACCAAGTTTAATCTATTCAGTAGTTGTTGTGTAATCCTGCTAATCAACAAACTAACATACGGACAGAGACAAACACATGATCACCTTGGCAGAGGTAACAAAAATATAAAGGTGGGGGATGGGAATCATCATTAATGATGAATTAACTTGTAATCACATTTCCTTGAGAAGAAAAGCTTGTAGGACGGTAAACGTTGTTTGTTTTGTTTTATTAATCTCGGTGAACTTCTAAACTCCGATGTGACGGTATCCAGATGTGGACGACCTGCTGGTCTAACGTGTGGTGACACAGATGTGGGTCTGAGTCCCTTTAATGTCAGAGGACGTTGAATGATCAAATCAGAGAAACGGTGCAGGGATGAGTGAAGAGGTTCAGTCTCGTTACTGGAGCCTGAAGTGATGAGCAGGAGCTGAGATTTCCTTCCCGTCCTTATTTATCAACACCATCCTTCCACCATCTCACAATCTGCAGCTCTTTTTCCCCTCATACCAAGAGTCCACATCCATCGTGTCACATGTTGTTTATCATCCGGAGACGACTTCATTTCAGACAAATTAAAAAAGAAAATCTTTGGTGTGGTTTCAAAGGGAAGGTGCTGACTGAGAGCTGAGCTTCGCCAAAGATTACAAATAAAGACGGATTCCACCAGTTGGAGCCGAAAACTGTTGGTGTCCTGTCTGCTCACAGACACAGACACACACAGACACACACACACACACACACACACACAGACACACACTCACACACAAAACACACACACCCACAAACACGCAAACCTGAGCCCCCTGAAGTCATCCCGAGGACACCCCTCCCCCCATCTATTATCACTGTTATTATTCTGATTCAAGAGGAAGAGAATATTTCTTTAATCAAAGCTGCACTGCACACATGACTGACTCCATCTTGTGCTTTTATGATGCTGATGATAATCAAGGAGAATCAAAGTGGGCGGTGGGGGATGCATGTGTCTCTTCAAAATAAAAATACATTTTTTTATAGCACGTTAAGGTCTGAAGTCTCTTTTAATGTAACATGTGATGTGTCGCTTTACTTTGAATGTATTATTTTTCATTTTATTTACTTATATATATATATATATATATGCCTGTTGGAGGGTGGAGACCTGGCTGGTCTGGTTCAATGTTGCAGACAAGAACGAGAGAAAGTCAACTAAAGAGAAAACAATACAAAAAAACAATCAACCCATCTAAAGCAAAGAAAAAGTCATAAAAATGACAAATTAATTACAAATGTCATTTGCAAGAGTCAGGAAACTGGCCGGGGATGAGAGTTCCCCCTATTTAATTTCCTTCCCGTGACTGAAGCAGAAAACAAGAAGCCGTTCTTCTTATTAATCTCAATCCAAATGTTGGCGACAGCAAATCGATGTCCTGAAACTACAGTATAGCCTGTAAAATGAACTGTGTGAGTTTGAAAAAGATGGATTCTGTCCCCGCAGCTGAAATCCAGCTGCAGATCTTTGTTGCATGTGATTCTCTCTCTGCTTATTTTCCCCTGTGATCTCTCTGCGACTGTCAATATCTCATAAAAACATAAAATTGACATAAAAGAAACACTATGAAAAAAAAATCATGCATGTTAACAAAGATAAAAAAGCTTAAAAATACTGAAAACACAGTTATTGACGTTTATTACTTTGTTTGCAGCATTTTGCTTAAACCAGCTCGACAACCTCAGAAAGTATTTCAGTGTTTGGACTGAAATACAAGGAATTTTTACAAAGCTGCCATTTTGCATTTTTCCCATTTGTTAAAAGCTCAATTGAAAACCCAGCTCCAAGACGGAAAAACATTCTGAAAATCACCTTTTGTATTCTTTCATAATAAAATAAAATTCGACACCATCATGTGCTGAGGAAACATAACATTACTCGATAAGTGCAAAGAATAAAAGAATAAAAATCCTCTCTAAAGGGTCAGAACATTTAAGGGAGTTCCACTGAATAAATCTAGTGCATGAAAATAAACTACTGACCGGTGGCACCACTCATGTTTGGGTGAGATCCGTCTCAATATTTCCCTTTTAAAGCGTGTATCTGAAATGTGTGTATGTGTGTTCTTACTGAGCAGGGCGCGGGGTTCAGGGAACACGTCTCCGTAGCGATTGTTGAAGATGCGAGCGAGGTCCTGAGCCAGCTCTAAATGCTGGACCTGGTCCTCTCCGACGGGGACGTGAGTGGACCTGAGACGAACACAGAAAACAACGTGAGCTTCCTGAACAACTGCACGCGCCGAAAACACAGTGAGATGAGAGAGCAACATATTGGAGACGCTCTGTGTCACTGCTGGAGCCGTCTTCAGTAATGGTTTCACAACTTTACAGCAGTCACTCGGGAGGAAGCAGTCCATTAATTTCCTCTTTAATAAAATCACCAGAGCATCAGAGATGAGGTTTTATCTGCTGCATCTCCCTCTCACAGGAAATTAAGGTTTTGGCTTTTGATGGTTCAAACAGAAACAGCTGAAGATAAATTATAACTCGTTCAGAAATCTGTTGCTGAAGGATTCATTCAAGTTACAATGATCCGACCACCAACTGGGCTCAAATCTAAATCCACAGATGCACCACCAGCACATTTTTTATTTGCAGATCATCAGACAGTTCTCCAGCTTCAAAATCTCAGGTTGATATTTTTTAAAGAACTTGTTTTTCCTCATCTGTGAAAAGAAGAAAAAAAAAAAACCTGCCAAAGCCACAGGAGGCAAGTGAAGTTTGTTGTTGTGATACCTGTTTCGGCCACAAGAGGCTGAATGCACCGGTCTAAACAGAGCACATGATTTTTAATTTCTCGGCGCACTCGAAACTCTAGATACTTTTATTTTCTGTTGGCAAGTTATGTTACGTTACTGTCGTGTTTTTCTATTTGTTAGAAATGTATTTGAATCGATGAAGCGGTTTCAAGGCATCGTTGAGGTAGCGCAAAAGAGTAACGCAATTTAGTGTGGGTTGTTGTGGATGAATGGGTCAAGAGTTATTTTGGGACTAAGTTAACTTCAATTTCAGTTTTTTTATTATTTTTATCTCGTTTTATAGTTTTTTTTACCAGAAAACATTTCTGTTACATATATAAACCATTTCTCAGTTGGTATTACAACCTGAAGTTGACGTGGAGGCTCCTGATGAGTTCAGAATTTAGTCCACAATAAAAAATAATAACTTCAAGAATTACTTCAGTTGATAAATTTAATTTGAAAAAAACTCAAATTAACAATTGAAGTAGTTTTTAGGTTGTATGAAAATTTGCCTCTGCTCCTTTTCCTTTAAGACAAATGTTTTATTTTATATTTTTTAAATATACAGGAGACGCAATTTAATATAATTTCTATCTTTCAGGTGACAGCTGTAAAATGACATGTTGTTGAAAACACTGCTGACACTTGGCAAGGTTTAACACACATCATCAACAGAGGGGTGTAAATTAAATTAAATTACATAAAATTAAATTAAAGTTAGACACCATTATTAAAAACTCACACTTTATTAAAGCCAGATTTCAAATAATTCAGTTGACGTCTCTGCGGCTTCTCTTTGAGATTAAATACAGGTCATCGCTCTGCCCCTCAAGAGGAATCTTTTTGAAAGCTCTCGAACACAAGATGGTTCCAACAATGAGCTGCAAATCATGAGTTCAACCAGGATGTATGGGCCGTATTTCTTCTCAGCTTCATCACAGGCAAAGTCAAACCCGAGAAGAAAACTGTGTGACCCTTCTTTTAGAAGGAGAAAATATAGAAATGATGAAAAAGAACCAGACTTTTTAATAAACAGGAAACTAATCCTTTAACAGGACTCAGATTTTCTGGATTGTGAAATATCTCAGTGAAAGTGGATGTGGCTCAAAAATCACAGTAAATACTGGAAGTGATGATGCTCTGTCTTGAGCCTCTTTCTTTTCCACTGGTCAAAAGTCCCACTAACATCTGGCTTTTGTCTGCAATGGGAATGGATACAAACACAATTCACTCTCAGGTTGTAATGACTTTTGGCAGTAATGGAAAAATTACTGGCGGGTGATCACGCTAATTTCTACTTTTTTATTTTGGCAGTCTAGACGCTGCACCTATTTTGGCCCAACATTATGATGCACATTGAACAAATAGCCATTAACGTTTGTGTACTTATTGTTTTTAGCATCTGGGGAACAACAAGATGCAACAGTGATTTCTTTCTTCTTCGTATCGTGCAAGATGTAACACTAAGACAACGAGGATCCCATCATGTTCATGCCGTCGAACATGATGGGAAAAAAACAGTAACACACGCTCCTCTACTGTCAATGGAGAAATGGGGGTTGAATAAAATGGAATTGAATCTCACTTGTAAAGGAGAATATCTGCAGCCTGGAGAACAGGATACGTGAAGAGGCCGACGCTGCCTTCGCTCTTCTGTTTGCTCTTCATCTGGAGGAAACGATGGAGAGAATCAGGTTGAGACAGAGGAAACAAGGAAATGAAAAGGAGAAAGAAAGAAAAAAAACATATGTAAAAGTGAGAGGGAAAGACTGAGTCATGTCGACTTTTCTTCTGCCCCCTGGAAGAGCCATTTTCACTTTTACGACTCATCGGTTCTCAGACAAACGGGGTGCGGATGAGTTCACATGACATTTTCCACCATGTTTGAGATCAACTCATCTGTTGGGTAAACAAAAAGGTGATTTCTGTGAAGCAGACGGAGAACAGGGAACGGCTGTCTCTCTCTTTCTCTGGCTTCCTCTCATCACGTAGAACATGTGGCTGGAGAGAATGATGTAACATTGAGACTTGTGAGAATCGTGGCAGGTTTAATGTGAGAAACGATCGTACAGACAACAGGGATGATGAGTAACTGACTTTCAATCGGTCAACAGAGGCTTGTTAAAAGATCTTTTGATCCGTTTAATCAGCTGCATGCAATTCTGATACACACACGTTTAAATACTTCGACCATTCAAGTTAATCGGAAACACAACAAGATTAATCACAGATAATTACAACTTTTATAATATAATTTATAAAAAAATAAATATTACTGAATAATTTCAAGTTCACTATTTACATTATTATAATGCTTTATATTTTTTTTGTGTACGTGTACATGTGAGCATTTCCAGCAGAAATAAAATGACAGAGTTACCTTCCACTGCGGCAGGTGTCGGAGGCGGGGCATGCTGGTCAGACAGCCGAGGATCCAGGAGAGCTCAGCGTGTTCAGACACCTGCAGGATTCAGACAAGTGCGATACGAGTTTTATGAATAAAATGAACTGTCATGTTCTGCTTCAAAACACAAACACACATGTTAAAAACACATCTCTGTATTTCCTAGCTCTGATGCAGCTAAAGATCTAACAGCAACAATAAAATATATCTTGAATTGAATCTGTTGTTTTTGATGCAATAACTTGGATCACTGGGTCATTTATTCTCTTCTTTCATATTTTACTCAACTTGTTCTATTTGGAATAATACTCCCAAAACTCATTGTAATTAACTTACAAGGATTTTTAAATCAACTACGACACTACGAGGATTAGGGTTACGAATATACTTGTTGAAAAATCATTCGAAGATAAATTAAACAGATAAATAATAACACATGCAAACTTCCTGTGCAGAAACACAACACTGGAAACCACAGAAGTCCAGAGATAAATATTTTTTTCTAAATGGAATTAAGCAGCGAGATTAAATGCAGATGAATGGATGGAGAGAGTGGGGAAGGAGAAAGGGGAGAGTAACTCCCTAGCGCCTCCAAGTGGTAGAAAATAGTACCGCCTTCCTATGCCTCAGCTCCCTCCTGACATAGACAGGTGCACCAGCTCATACGTGTCCAATGAAACATGTATGATATCAGCTATTAAACACTGATGCGTGCAGGTCAGACATAAATACATGTTTTGTCATAATGTTACTGAGCCTTTACTTAAACAGGGTTTCCTAGTGTGTGTGTGTGCACGCAACAGTAAACAGCTGCTTTTCGAATCTCTCAGCAGGACGCAACTCAAACTTCCCGTAACTTTTAACACACCATCTGCTTTTATAGGTTTGTTGGCGATTTGTTTATTGAATTAGTTAATTTAAAAAAACTGTTGTGCATGTGGTCAAATAATAACATGTTGTGGAGCAACGAGGAGGTGAACGTTAAAGAGCTGTAGCCCGTGCATCTGGCTGCGGTAAATTAACTCCAACATATCTGCTTTCATGGAGGCTGTGGTGGATGTGAAAAAAAACATGCCTGTGTGTGTGAGAGAGAGATAAAGTGTGTGTGTGTGTGTGTGTGTGTGTGTGTGTGTGTGTGTGTGTGTGTGTGTGTGTGTGAGCGAGCAGGAAATATCCCTCTGCTTCAGCAAATTAAAGTTTATGGACACGAGCTATATTGCCATCCTCTCGTTCTCTTGCTGCTTGAAAAGCATTCTGGGGAGTGTGACGTCAGCGCCAGACAGCACGGACATAAAGTAGGATTTCAGGCGAACATGTAGGGGGTCGGTATTCATTACACGCTGCACACAGACAAGAGATGGGACAGATGTCGACGACAGCGCAGGAAGGGATGGATACGATTTGAAGTGCAATAGAGAAAAAATACGCAGATATTTAAAGGCTTGGGAAAAACAAGGCGTCGATTCATGGTGCATGGGAAGAATGCACCGCGACAAGAGGTATGCTAACGTTACGGATCAAATGGGCATTACACTGATTGTGACTTATCGTACGGCCATTGCAGCAGCTCCTTCAGATTATGAATGGATTTTAGAGATCAGCAAACAGTTGATCCCACACAGTAACGCCACTTTTCTCCCTGATTCTTTTGTAAAACCCAAAGGATTTGTGGATCTGCAGATTCATTCCATTCACTTCAAGTTATGCTTCTTTTTTTTTTTTTCATCAAAGTCAAGTATTTTCTTTGGGTGGCTGTCGTGTTTTTACATGTGGAGCAGGCATGTTCGACAGGAGGGTCGCTGCGCTGCCAAGTTATGTGGCATGAAGCTAAACGGGAACAAATATAGGACTGGATGTTTGTGTGTGTGTGTGTGTGTGTGTGACTTTGTGTGCGTGTGTGTGTTGTTTGTTGTGTGTATTTGCCGGGGAAGAGGTGGCAGAGAAACACAGATGGACTGAACTATCAAACACTCTTCGACACACAAACACACACTTCAACTTTTAAACTTGTGTAAGTAAGAAAATAAAACACACAATATCACAGGAAAACCAAACAGCTGTGATCTTTCTGTCGACACTCTGAATTTAAACCTGAAACCTGGGATCAGCTGTTTGCTTCGAACCCTGAATCTGTCATTATCCTTCTCAGCTCCCAGAAGCAAAACGTGATGGCATGTGTGTGTTTTCATTCAGTTCAGATAACGATCAGGAGCGAGCATGTCGGTGGATAAACTCTGCAGATTCAGCAGAAGTGAAATAAACATAAACAGTTCCTTCATGAATTATGTAGAACTTCTATATAAATTCTGTTAAAGAGTTGTTGATTTAATTTATTTTATAATTTTGGAGGCAGCCGTGTTTCAGACTGTTGAACTGAATTTGCATTGGCAAGTGTCCCTAATACTTTGTCCATCCCTTTCAAAGCTAAATAACAGACATTTAAACAAAACTGAACATCTCGGGCTTAAAGACGGATTATTTATTACAGGACTTAGTTTTAGTTGGTGAACCAACTGTTCATTATCTCGTTCATTCATTGTAGGACAGAGGAGTTTTCATTAGTATGACACTGCAAAGTAAAATATATTCACGAGACACTGAGGAGTTAAAATTTAAAGACACATTAATCAGACTCTCAGGAAAACATCTATCATAGCAACATTTACATTCACATTCCAGTGACATCAATTTACCCGTAAATTATATGAACAGATACATTCAGTTGTTATGCTATGCTAATTTCCTAATTAATTTTGATGGTGTCAAGTGGATTCTTTTTATTTTAGATTCAGGGAATTCTGTACTTCTATTAGTATGCTACTAAACCATCCATCCATCCATCCATCCATCGCCTGCTCACCTTAGACTGCTGGAAGAGTATCGCCCTCTCTGGGTCGATGCCACACGCCAACAGGCTGGCTGCCATGTCCAGTATGTTGCTCCTCAGCTGGTTCGGGTCCTGAGGCTGGGTAATGGAGTGCAGGTCCACAATGCTGTAGAGCACCAACGGATACTGGTTCTGCAGCGACACCCAGTTCTCCAAGGCACCCAGGTAGTTGCCCAGGTGAGGAGTCCCTGTTGGCTGGATCCCAGAAAACACACGCCCACCTCCTGGAGGCTCCTGGAGAAATAGCAAGTTAGCTTTGTGTAGTAAATGAAGCGTGGGATCTTGGTGTAAACACCATAAATCAACCAGATATAGCTTGAATCTCAAACCTTTATTCATTCTAGTGTTAAAAACCATACACACAAAAATCTTAAGCTTACTTCTTAAAATTAAGATTTTCTCCGGATCAGGTATATGTGAACGCAAATGTCCGAGTGAGACGCTCCATACTTTCTTCAGACTTTGTCCACCTGACCTCCTAGTATAAAGTACGTAGAAATCCAGTCTATGGGTGAACTCAGCAGGGGATCCCCCGCTCGATTCACTGCGAGCAAGGGAGGAGGTAATAAAACAAATATCTCCAACTGAAAAAGCAGTGACACACACGTAGAGGAAATAAACGAAGATGTCAGGAGAGTTTGCGGTGATAAGGGCTGACGATGGTGTCGGGGTGTTGTAAACATGATCACGTAATCTACACAGCAGAGTTAATATGTCACTTCCTGCCTCTGTCTGCTGCACCCGGCTGCTGCACCCGGCTGCTCCACCTCTCGTCTGAATAATGAGGAGGATTTAATGTTTTTCTGCACAGTGCAGAAAACCTCCCGCTGTTGTGCATGTGGGACAGGCAAAGTTAAAAAAAACCCACGGCCAAATCTCCGGATTTTACCTGCAGGTCATGTCTGAAAATGTCTTTTGTCTTCTGTGCCTTCATAACCTGGAATAGCAGAGAAGAGACTCATCTTTGGAGAGAGCGACTCAAGGTGAAAAGATGAGAAAGTCACAACTTGAGAGAAGCCTGCAGAGACTGAAGTGTCAGTAGTAAAGTATTGGCAGGTTTGGGGGGGCAGCTGCGGTCATGCTTGTATTACTGGGATGCTAACTCCATGGCTCGCACCTCTGTTCGCTCTCATACACCTCCAGCACGAAGAATGCATCACCTCACCGGCCAACACAAACATTTAACATCCAACCAACCAAATCTAAGGCCTCCATTACCACAACAGGGAAGGGAGGACACTAAGAGAGGGAGAGGGGGAGGTAGGCGCATAGAAATAGATCAAATATGGCATAGTAGCCCACAATGTCACAAACATTAAAACAAGAAACTTATCTAAAAGAGTTGGAGCTGAGACAGCATCAGGCTCCTCTAAAAGAGAGAGAGATCACTCGGAGAGCTTGTAGCGTTGGGCAAACGTTGTGTTTCTCTTTCTGCAGAACCTGGCCAGGCCGCCTCATTTCTTCTGGCATTGGCCTTCTCAACTGAACCTTGGCTTTCACTTGGCACTGCTGTAAGAGAAGTCTTAACCACTGCTTGTGGTGGCACCAAGCACCACAAGATACAATTAGAGGGCAAGCAGGGCGGCACCTGTCAGGAGACACGAAACCGCAGTGGCATATGGTATCCAAGATCTATGGCCGTTACACAGTAGATTAGGGCTTTAACGGAGCGGAAAACACAAAGACGCAGACTGGAAGTTGTGTTTTCATTGGGCAGTTAGAAAGACAAAGTGTTTGGCGCCTGGGTAACACACATGGAGATCCCACAACAATACCACGAATCAGTTCCTACCAGCTCACAAATGAGAAGTTGATGAAGGACCATGCATGTTTTTGTTGGGTGTATGGAATATGTGGGTGAGAACGAAGCTTGACATACACAAGGGTTTGGTCTACAATGAGGTCCACAACCTCCAGAATTAAAGAGGGGCCAACAATGCCAGGGACCTTCATTTGTGTTGTTACAGGTGTGTCCACAGGTACCAGCAAGATGATGACAAAAAACACATGGTCCAGCTCTCAGTTATACATTATATCCAAGAATATAAGGGTTTGGATACATCAACATATTTCATGTTAATTTAAAGGTATTTTATGTAAGTACAAAAAGAAATTCACCGGTATTAATATTTGTTTATTGCAAATCCGAAGCCAAATTGTTATGAGACCTTTACCAAACTTTCTATATAAGAACTGGCATCAAATTTTCAGGGGAAATTCCTGAGGATGTGACGTTTATGCTCGAGTGCCTTGCCTCAACGACTAATGTTAGCCCTTATGTTAGCCTAGAAATGGAGTCTGCTAACGTCAACATACAATCTGTTCTCAGCACAACACAGACTCCAACACAAACTCAACATTAGTCAAACTTTCATCTCACAAGGCCAGAGTCAAGTCTCCACACTTCTTTTAGTACTGTGCCAGAGCTGGACAGTCAAATACAGTCTTTAGTGTCAAATCTCTCTCTCTCTATATATATATATAATTAAAGTTGAACTTAAGTGACCTCATCTATCAATACATAACCTAGTGCACGTCACATCATCGCTTTGGGTGATGCCAAAGATTCTTGCTTGTGCAAACCTACGGAGTGATGGCTTCAGTTCACTTACTGGCCACTGGTGTCATTGATGAAGTGTTTTCTAAATGTTGCATGTAGAATTATAAAAAATACAACAACTCTGGAAATGTATCATCCATTGTTATTAGATGGAAAAGTGGCATTACACCCCACCTCGGAATTGGCCCTCAAAAAAAGAAGCTGTTCTGCAGCTTTCTACTGAATCACAAGATACTCTTCAGCAGATCGAGTTTTCCTGTTTGTCATGAACTCTATATGATCAAAGTTGCTTCCACCAATAACCCATTAAAACTAAACTTCTCTTACATTCTCGGACTCAACAACCTGTCCAGATCTTAACGTCAAAGTTGATACTGTCATGATCTTACAATTACCATGAGGTTAAGTTTGTTTTAGCACGACGTGAGATGTGTTGCAACCAGCAACACCTGGACATTTCAACAGTGGAGCTCATTTTTAAACTTAAGCCCCACAAAACCCCTGAGATCTCTGTGTTATCACCTCAAAGATGACTGGCGATCATATGTTCCCCGGCTGCACTTTTCAAGGTTATCACAACTATTCATTAAAACCGGACGCTTTCAGAGGATATCCTCTTCGCTCACTGCTGGGAAATCGGTTATCTTGACAGCTTGCTGAGCTACATCACATTCAATCTGACTGAGGGACGGGCTCAGCACAGCATCTGAGATCAGATAACAGCTGCTCGGTCACCGGCGTGGCCCAGAACTTCTCCCTCTCTCAGCCCTAAGGGATCAAATAACGACTGCTCTGAGGCCAGCGTGGTCCACAAAGTCTCCGTCTACTGGCCTGAGGGAGCTGGTCACAGCTCGGCAAGAGAGAGGCAGGAAGGAACTGGGTGCTTATGTCATTACCGACAGGGTAATTGCACTGGAGTGCCATTGATGCTGAGAGCCTCTTAAGAAGTGTCAGGATTGATTTGGGTGTGGACGGGGCCCTGGGTCTGGCTCATGTGTGTTCTCACCTCGAGCTGACACGCCAAACGCATGTTCCCCCTCTGCTCCGACCCCCAGGGGAAGCCATTAGCCATGCAGACATGGTAATGGTGTCATTTGAGCCAATCGAGTGTTAAATGAGAGTCAACAGCACAGCTAACTAGCCACTGGGCAATCACGGGTTATCACGACACCTCCACGTTATCTTTAGTTAGAGAAAAGTGTCTTCAAAGATGTGCCTCTACGATTGTTGGAGGAGAAAGCAGCTTACACAAGTAAATAAATCAACTACCACGTGACGACAGTGAAGACAGTGAACGTTGTAAATCAATTAATAGTTGTAACGAATACTGCACTGCAAAGCCAACAGTAATAAAATATCATCCAGCTTACTTTTGCCATGGACTATATTAAACTTGTGCAAGTGAATCAACATTAGTTCTCGACTTCATATCTTGAAGGTGAAATGACACCTTGTGGTCAGTAGGATGTATCAATTAAAAACCCTTCAAAGAGTTCAGATGACTAAAACATTTAAAACCAGATTCAAACATGTTAAAGAACTACGACCATACACAAAAAAAGGACATTCGCTGATTAGTGGTAAATTTAAAGGACAGCTGAGGCTATGCTATCTCTGACCATCCACTTTCCACCCCTTGCCTCTCTGTCGTTGGATGCCTGTAGATGACACACATGCAAGGAGGGAAATTCTGGTGGTTCTCTCCTCATATTTTACACTGACAGGCCCGGCGTTGTCGTACTATATCGTCGTTAATGTGATGAAAGCTTTCTTCATCCATGTCTGCCATGTGTTGAATACATTAACGCCAACAGCTAGAAGGTTACGTACACTAAAAGGCCTTGTTTTCACACTTTCACTGCCTTTCTCGGAATAGTGTTCATTTGTCAGTGTGTGTGGTACTATTCATGGGGTTAGAGGTCATGTGCAAACACAGACATATGTCCACAAGTGTTTTAGTCTTTGCCAACATCAACACCGGTGAAGCTGTGATGGTGTCTGTCCATATGAGTTTGACAGCTCGCATCAGAAACAACACTGGTGGAAAGAAAACTATCAGACAGTCCAATAAAAAGCTGTAACTCGACCTGGTTCTACAAACAAACTGCATCATTAGATGGAAAAAGGCAGTTAATTAGAAGTGATTCACTTCATTTGAGGACAGAAAGGGATCAACACCAGGTTTCCCACAATTCTTGAGTCAATCTAGTTCCAGGAAACATTTCCCTTTTCTCCCCAGCATTTCTCCAGAGCCATGGAAACAACTGCACACTGGGTAACAGAGGAAAAAATGTTGAATTGCAATTTGAGTGAGAGCAAGATAAAAAAATGAAATTACATCCTCACAGAGGATTGTGCAGCAATGACAAATATAGGTGGCTGGGACCAGATGCAAAAGAAAAACTCTGCATACAATTGCGTTTGGTTATTGGACTGTAAACTTGCAGCTGTTCTTTTAGAGAAATGGTGGAATTCAAGGTGTTGCCTGCTTCATGAGGGAGCAGTGTTCAGAAAAAGACCTCAGATTCACCATTATTATTATTATTACATATGTTATTATTGAACAGTTGCAGCTTATATCCAGCCCAAGTCTACAGCCTCACTCTGCTCAATGTTATTAATCAAAACCATGGCTTTGGTTGAGCTAAGACTTTCAAAACAGTGGATTTCTCTT